ATTTGGTGGCGGCTTTGTGGCGATTTGGTAAAGTTTCAGTGGTGGAATAGCAAAAAAATAAGCACTTTCAGTAAAGTAGGTTTAATTAGTCTCCTCTTCTGATCTCTCCCTGTCAAGCTATAGGGCGGTAGATCCTTTCTAGGACGACTAAATGACAAATAAGGTAAGTTTATTAATTATCGTTGCACTGGTACAAGCAATTGGATTTCACAAAGTCAGTATTTTATTAATTTTCTCGTCTCTCTTTCTGTTCTAGATACATTGGCTATTTATATTATCGCGACACGTCTTTCTAATCTATCGTCGCATTATGTAAAATTACTAAACTTCTACAAACTCGGCACCCATCAATCATGCATAATTGATGCATGATCGATGCCCTATACGGCATCGCGCCAGGCCCCACATGTTGCGTCATGTCTACTATTACAATTTTTTTTTTTTTAGTAGGTAAATATTATTTCTTTATTTGATTTGTATATTAAAAGTATACATCGTAAAAGAAACAACATCTCTCATTTGTAAATACAGTAAGTTTAATACTAGCTTGTCTACAGAAACCACATGACTAATATTGAAAATAAAATTTAAAACAATATATCTTGTCAGGTAGTATCGAGCGGCTATGTTTACCTACTCAGTGTTGGAAGAAATAAGATTGGAATAGCTTTGGATTAGATTAATAATACACTTGGAGAAATTGAAATTGCTTTGAATATAGATGTCTGTGATCAAGGTAGATAGATCAATTGTTGTCATTGTTGGCTCTTGTATGGATGGGAGTTTTTGTGGATTTGATTTTGAAGTTGCTTGATTGTCTTTAACTGTGTCGCTGGAGGATTTGTCTTTCCATTTTATATCATTTTGTGGAGAGGTGTTGGCTATAGCACATCGTGGTTTTCATATGGTATTATATAATTGCATTAGGGCTTCAGTCGATGCTTGTACCCACTTGTCAAGATCTGATAGTGAGAAAATACCATCAGTGATACTACATGCTAGCTTTACAACCTACTATATGTGGTTTATCGGTTTTGAGTTTCCATTGGGGTAGAGAATTAGATTTGTTTGTTTGATAATTTGATTAGCCTCTTCTAAAGCTATTGGACATTTGAATGTATGTTGTATGCTTTCAGTGCAGAGTTCGCATTGTGGACAATAGGAATCAGGGTATTGGCTCTATTACAATTTTTATACTAACAATATACATATAGTAAAAAGAGAAAATTTCGTAAATGTAAGAATTTTTGATGACAAATATAGTCAACTCTTGATAAAAGAAACTGTATACAAATAGTCTATATATGTTGATAATCAAAGCATTAATTGAAAGTAGCTACGATCATCAAAAATTTTCTGGATCATGGTTTATTCGATAAAAAAAAATCTGATACACAAGGGGGTTTTCAAAAAAATCTGAAATTTTTTAAATATAAAAAGTAACTACATAATAAACTTTTTATTTTATTAGATATATATAGTTTTGTATATTAAGTAAATATAATTTAGACAACAAAATATATATACAATAAAAGTTTCACTAATTTATAACTATATTTTATTATTAACATTTAAGGTTTACATTTCGTGTGGCAATTTTTTTAATCTTAATTTTGATTATTATATTTATATTATTTCTATAATTAGTATTTTAACAAGTAATTTATAATTAATTAATATTGTTTATTAGATTTTTATTACTTATATATTAAATTAAATTAATTTATTAATTTATTTATTTTTTTTTTTAATTTCACAATCAGGTTGGTGTCATTTATTTATTAAATCATAAAGAACCATTACACATATAAGAATACATGCAAAGTACAAATTTCTCTGACCCAACTCACTTGTCTTTAGCCAAAGCCTCTAGATGCAATTTATAAGGGTGATGTATTGTTCTCTTAAAGGATAAAATTAAGATCCCAAATTTTTAATAGGATCAGTACCTGCAGATTATCTCCACAGTCACAACCATAAATTCAAATTGTGTCACTCCCCTCTTGTAAAAACTACGCAAGGGAAAAAAGGAATAAAAAAGGAATTTTTTGATAAAGAAAAAAGAAAAAAAAAAAGCTATCATCTATTCTAACTATCATTGAAAAGGCTATCTCAGTGAACTTAAAATCCAAGCCTCTTATGGATTTTCACTTCTCACCACCTGTGGCCAGTTAGACTGTTAAATTTCCAATAGAGTAATCAATATTCAAGAATATTTAAGAACACTTCCAGGAGAGTATTTCTTGAAACTTTATACTTGAAGACTTCTAATCAGAAAAGATGTTAGTTTTTTATTGTTGATTTCTCTCCCAAGCCATATCTTCTGGAATTATAGCTTCACTCAACCAGTGGATAGTTTCAAGATCCTTTTCTCCAACCATTTCTGGGATAGATATTGGTATTTCAACTTGTTACCAGATTGGGATAGGATTTAGACCTTGTTGCAACTTTCTGTCCTCAAGAAAGAATAGAGAAGAAAAAAAAATAAAAGGATGGGAACAAAAAGATGTCACTTCTCTTCTTCTTACAACTTTAACTTGAAACTGTTCAACTCTTTCCGAAACCAATTACATCATCGGTTTGATGTTGCACAACTGGAAACACATGAGAAGTATGTGTCTTGTTTACTTTTTCTGTAACTGACGTGATCAACCAATCTGTGACCTTGACCAATTATTTTTCAGAAAATCTGATGTGACTAAAAAATTCAGGGTCAAACTGAGGTAGGCAAAATTTACCAGAAAAATCAAAAAAAGGAAGCATGCTTGAGAAAAAAAAAGTGGGAAGCCAAAGAGATGATGGAAAGACTGAAGACTTTTTTATTCTTGTTTCTTTAGATTCTTGAATCTTTTGGGAATCTTTAAAGGGTATTTTTTCTTGTCAGTTTTCTTCCTATTGTAACAGGGAGAAATGGGATGTGACTGTAGTCACGTGATCAATAATCGTGACAATGGTAAGTCAGCTGTAATAATTAGGTAACAACGAATAACGAAGGAAATTGACGAGAGAAATTATGTAAGATAGCCTAAGCCCCATTATTGTACTATAGCTTATTATTCTATATCCAAACTGCTATAGCCAATTGTAAAGAAAAAGAAATATAAAAAGAATGTAAATTGTAAAGAGACATGATAGTGAAGTAGTGAAGAAGTGAGAAAATTAATAAAGACTTGGTCAAATACAAACATACCTAAAATCACCCATTCTTTTATTACCCCAGTAATGGTTACGCAAATCTCTGCTAGAGTTAGTAACTGACTCGCCATTACACCGTTATATTTTTTGTAGTGACTGTGAGATTGCGACTTGCCGAAAATAGAACTTTCGCTAATTACTCTTCTCATAAGACTGAAGAAATGACGACTAATTCCGTTCTAAAGATGATGCCTGGAAGAAATTCAATAGTTGATATATATCGAGTAGAAGAAGAAACATTATCCCCACTCAAAAAAAAGACCCGACTGACGAAGGGAGTGACAGAATGTCTCCAAGAAGAAGAACGACAAAGTCAAAAATGATTGCCATATGGGATTAACAATTTAGCAGTCTATAGAGAAAGAGAAAAAAATTAATAACATTTGGTTACCCCCTCTCCCCCAATATTTTTTGTGAGAACTGTCCAAGGCGTGACGAAAGAAAATCGCCTGCAAGAAAGAAGTAGAGATACACACCAGACTGTCCAAGGCACGACGAGAGAAAAATTGTTGATTGAAAACCTAATTGATAGAAAAAAAAAAAAAAAAGGAAGAAAAAGGGAAACAAAAAAATATATATATATATATATACAGTATATTTGCTTATTTCTTTTGGTTTTGTTGAAAATGTTTAGCAAACAAGGCAGCAAGAATAGTGACAAATTTCTAGGAAATAATGATAACCAGATCGGTCAGGACCAGGTCAACTTTATTATAAGAGAGCTCACAAATGCAATGCATAACACAGGAGCTGGTAGCTCCACGCAACCAGGAGATCAAGAAAGGAACCTGGTCAAGATTCAAAATTTCTATGGAGAAGATGACGAAGATCCTTTCGAATGGCTTGAAGCATTCGAGCGAGCTGCGAACGCCAATAACTGAGCCAACCAACAAAGGATCAGCATCACATCGGAGTACCTAGCGGGCATAGCCGCAGACTGATATTATGACAGGAAAAATGTGATTATCCATTGGGATGAGAATTGAGATCCAGATGCAAATTTTGTGTTCTCTTTCCTTCAGTATTTTGCTATTGCTGAACGAAAGTATCAATGGCAAGTATAACTAAATACACTTTGTCAGAAGGATAGGAAATAAGTCAAAATGTACATTTATAAATTCAGGAGACTGTTAAAGAAGGTAGACCTTGATAATGCACTACTGCAAACCTACGTAATGTGAATGTTTACCGAAGGACTGAAAGGTAAGGTAGCATCCCTGTTATCCGTAATAAATCCAGGAACTTTGGAGGAAGCAATCACAGGAGCAAGGAAGATTGAAGCTGGGAAGTACTACAGCAAGCTGACCACTCAAGATACGAAAAATGTCTCCCTAGAAGCCAGCATTTCAGTATTAACCTGGCAAGTACAAGAACTAGCAGCCAATTATACCAAACTCGTCACAACAACAACAACCCAACCAGGACACAGGACAAGAACTAAGCCAGATCTACAGGATATTACATGTTACAAGTATGGGAAGAAAAGCCACTATGCAAGAAACTGAACAATGAAAAGATCCAATCCACAAAGGAACGAACCCACACAATTAACAAGATCCAAAATGGAAGCCCAATATATGGAAATAATGGAGAATGAGAATGAAGTATACAACATCACCGAAAGGTACCAACCATACACTAGAAACCAAAACGACGTAAGGGCCCGATTGGAATGGAATGGACATTTGAGAAACTGTGGAAATGTTGAAGCAAGATCAACAATGATCCAGGGATTACCTCCCCAAAAAGAGACCAGCAGAGAGAACTCGATTCAGCACATGAAGGAGGAACTAGTGGAAGAAGAACCGAAGGATATGTCTCAAAGGACTTCACGAAGGAAGAAGGGTCCATCAAGGAACAAATCAGAACCATCATATAATATTGTTACTGATCTGTTAGCCACACCTGCGAATGTCACGATTGGACAAATGTTACAATACACTGAGCAAAAGAAAAACCTCGCGAAGGCCCTGCACAGGTCAACAATACTAGAAGAAACAATGTACGTTGATACCAATAACAGGAAGAAGACAACCGCCACGAAGTGTTATGTCAGAATCTGTAATCAAAGGGTTGTAGCAGTAATTGACACTGGTACAGCTGTTAGCTTCATCATGAAGAAACTGGTAGATAAACTGAACCTGAAGATAAATAGAAAATCTACTTTTGTAATAGTCACGATCACAGATCGAACAAGGATGCTGGGCACTATTAACAACATGAGGATCACTATTCAAGGAACTGACATCCCATGCACGTTTCAAGCAATCAATTCCAAGAACAAAACCATGCTGTTAGAAAACGATTGGTTCAAAGAAATGCAGGTCCGCATCTATTTCGACAAGAGGAAAATAATACTATACCATCAAGGCAACAGAATGGAAGTGCACATTTTTAACAACCCTGAAGAATATTCGAATGATGATGAATCCACAGATCTTGAAAAAGAGTTTGATGAAATACTAGAAGAAGATGTGGAAGATATGGAGAGGTACTACACAGAAGATATGGATAGGGAAGAAGTAACATTTCCCGAGGAACTACTGAGCCCCGCTGCTTACCTATCTCAGATTGAGGAACTACCCATGGTAATCACCGAACATGAAGAAACTGTGACGATGGAAGGGATTGAACAGATCAAAGTAAGTAAGAAGTTAGATCCCGAAGAATGAGATCAAGCAAAAAGATTGCTAGAAAAAGAAAAAGACACCTTCACACTAACCATCAGTAAACTAGGATGTACGGATAGGATCTGCCATATGATTAATACCGGAGATGTGGCCCCAATCAAACAAGCAGCATACCGGGCAGCCCCAAGTATAAGGAAATTCATTTAGAACGAAATCTCCCAATTGTTGGAAAGAGGCTTAATTAGAGAATCACAAAGTCCATGAGCCTCCCCCATAGTGGTCATGCCAAAGAAGGCCAGAAAATTGAGGTTGTGTATTGATTACCACAAGCTGAATGCGATAACCAAGAAAGATGCTTACCCTCTACCCCGAATCGACAACTTGTTAGAAACTTTCGCAAGAGCAAAATAGTTCACCACCTTAGATTTAATGAGTGGCTACTGGCAGGTTGCTATAGGAGAAAATGGCATTTGTTATGGCATTTGAAACATATGAGTTCAACATCATGCCGTTTGGGCTATGTAATGCCCTGGCAACATTCCAACACTTGATGAATAAGGTATTAGCTAAATACTTAGGAAAAACAGTCGTTGTTCATCTCAACGACATCATCATTTTCTCAGTGACATTAAAGGAGTATCTAAACCATGTAAATAAAGTCCTGCGAGAATTAAAATTAGCAGAATTAAAATTAGCAGAATTAAAACTTAACCATGAGAAATGCATAGTTTTCTGCTCTAACCTTCAATTTTTAGGTCACATCGTCAGAAGAGATGAGATTAAGCCCGGCAACATCAAAATCAAAAAAGTCAAGAACTTTCCAATCCCTAGAAACATAAGGCAACTATGCGGGTTTATAGAATTGTTTTCGTATTACCGGTGATTTATTAAAGGGTTCACGACAATAGCTCGACCCCTACATCATTTATTAAAAAAAGGTGTTGAATTTTAATGGGAAGAAGAGCAGAATTGAATGTTTGAGTCTTTAAAAAGACACCTCGTTACCACCCCAATTTTATAATACCTCGATTTTACAAAGACCTTTCATGTGCACACGGACGCCTCCAGATATGACTTAGGAACTGTCCTGGTACAGAAAAATGACGACAAGAAAAAATTTGTCATCTTCTATATGAGCCGACGATTGACTAAACATGAGAGAAATTATTTTACGACAGAATTGGAGTGCTTGGCTGTCATCTGAGTGGTAGAGCATTTCTACCACTATTATAGATTAAATTCTTTCATTATAATAACTGACCATATGGCACTTCAGTAGTTAAAAACGTCGAAACTTACCAGGAGGAGAACTAGATGGATACTCCACCTCCAATCATATAATTTCACTATTCAATATAAAAACAGACAAAAACATAATAACGCTAACATGTTATCCTGCCTTTAAGCAATCAAAACTTCCTCCCCCCCAAAAAAAAAAAAAAAAAAATCTTTTATATACCTAAATCCGAGGAACAGAATCCAGCCCAGGTTCCGGTGTCCTGGTGTATTATCTAGTTTTGTTTTTGTTTAAATAACTCAAAATAATGGATTCAATGCATTATAACCAGTTAAGAGCCTATCTGCAGAATCAAAGATTACCCTCAACCATAAACGCGACGGAGAAGCATAAACTATAAAAAAAGAGCGAATTCTTTTTTTTTTTTATCACGAATGGGCATTAAATGCGAGACTTTATTTAAATAAAAAATTTACTGTCATTACATTAACAATCTTTACAAAGTAAATTAATTGTAGCCTATCACAACTAAACTATTGATACCAGGTACCACCACAGGGGTGGGCTCACACCTATAGTGCTGAATGGCTAATGCCCTTTCAGAATGATGATATTACTGTAGGAGTAAAAATTGATTTATCAGTATGGTTGAATGAGTTATTTAGGAGATTTAGGATTTTATTAAATATAGAATTGTCATTGGTAATTGTATTTATTGTGCAAATGCTAGTTGTTTTTTTCTATTTGATTCCAGAAGCCGGTGAGATTGTCGCTGTAGCCGATCTCAGTTTTCATGCTTTGTGTAGGATTTTTAGTATGTAATTAGAAATATGTTCTTTTTTATGAAGAAGGCTAAATGGATTGTTGAATTTGCCAATGGCCAAATCCAATAGAGTGTTGTCTGTTAACTTGAATGTTGTAGTGAAGTCAATTTCTTTAATATTTTTAGGGTTGAGGTCATGAATGAGGTTTTCGAGTTTGAGCTTCTTTTTGTTTAATAGGGGTTTAATGTATGTGCAAGAGAAGATGTGTGGAAGGTCCTCTGGGTATGCATCGCATCTTGGGCACAAGTTGTCAGGGTAGAGGCTGGGGTATCATTTGTGAAGTTTTATTCTGGTTGGAAGTTGGTTTGCGAAGAGTTTGGTTCTAAATGTGGATAGTGCCTTATATTTTGTTTGGTCGGATTTTTTGAATTTGTTGTTTGCTTTGATGATGGTTTCAAGTTCCTCAAAGGAGGAGAGTTTGTATGTGGCTGATTGACTCAGGAAGATATCAAAGAGATCGGTGTAGTAGTTTACAAATTTGATCCAGTGGATAATACTTGTTGCATGTGTGTTGTTAATTAGTGGTGATGATGTAAATGTTAGGGGGAAGCACTGAGGAACTGGTGTGTTAATTTTCATGTTTGTGTTCAGTGGTGGCTGATGGTTTTTCAATTTGTGCCATGAAATAGTAAAGTCTTTTTCAATTATGTGAGTGTTACATTCATTGATAAGTCTGCTGAAAGGAGTTTTGATTGATCTGTTAATGTAATTTAGAACCTTTATATCAGAGATTTTGTTGAGGTAAATGTTGATAGTTGATGTTTCTGGAGTGTCGACCAGGATTTGATAGAGTACTGGCCAAAAAACATTCCAGAAGTTAAGGTAAAGTATGTACGTAAGCGTATACGATAATTTGGATACTACCATATTGTTATTGTTTTTGTTATGATAAAGGTATATAATTGTTGGTCTGTTGATTGGATGTGGTGGGGAGATTAGTATTTGTGGAATTGATTGTAGTATAGGGAAGAAGGATTCAGTTAGCTCCTGAATGTTATTGAGTAGGTATGTAGAGTTAAGACGCACGGTGTGCCAAATGGACTTTAGGACGTTTATGTTTTTTTCTATAATACAGGGCTGTACTGGGCATAAGCATAAAATTATTTCCTTGTTGTTGAGTAGGTAGTGCTTGCCTCTGATGGTTGCAGATCTGATGGCATTGCTGCGTACTTTGATAAGATTGATAGTATTGTTGTTTAAAAAGGCCCAGAATTTAATTTTAGTGATGTTGGGAAGGAATGTTAAGTCACCATATATGTTTGAAGATGTGTTGGAGATAAGTGAGAACCATGCTGGAGCTGGACTGGGAGTGATGTAGCCCCTATGTGTGTGTAGTTCTTCCCAGGATAGTTTGATGTTTTGTTTGTAAACATAGGTGTTGTGAATAGTTTTAATGTTTGTGTAATAGAGGGAGAGGGCATTAGGTTTTTTAAGTTTGGTCACAAGGCCGATTGAATACTCATGATTGTTATAATTATATGAGCAGGGAAATGGACAAATTCTGATTTTGTATCTTTTGGCCAGAAGGGCTGCTAAGGTGATCCATGAGTCTTCAAAATAATAGGGGAAGCAAATTGGGCAACACCATATAGCTTGCGCAGCTTGTATTGATGTAAT